GCTTTTTTAACGGGAGGAAAGGTTAGCGGGGCAGCGGCTCCGGCGCTGACAGAACAAAATCGTACTGAAAAAGTCCCACAAAAAAAAAAAAAAACCCCACAGCACCGTCAACGCTCACCTGGCTCTCACTGCGTTGAAATCTCCGGTCGGTTTTCCAATGACGAGCTGCTGCAACGACAGGTGAACCAGTGCCCACAGCACCAAAATAAACACACACACCAGCACTGTTGCCGGACATTCCCGCAGCAGGTAGAGCCTCACTTCGGGCTTCCTCTTCTGGTCACAGCCGCTGTAGCCGTTATCCCCGCACTGCTCGTGGGAGCCGTTGTTATCTTGAGAAGCACAACTGTTCGTTCCGAACGGCTTTATTCTCCGGACGGCGGTGTCGAACTCCATCTTTGAGGCGGCAGCAGTGCATCAGCTCATTCAGCTGCAGAAAGTCTCTTACGCAGACGACGCTGCCTTTCCCCCCCTTTTGCTGGTGATGACCGACAGAGCACGACGAGGGACAAAATACATCTGACAGGCAGACGGGGAACGCTACAATAGAGAAGAGAGGCGATGGACAACTGTTTCTTTGGCGCCCCCGTATGGACGCTTGTGTCAGCGCATTTTTGTTTTCAAAGTGGGCATTGAATTTGACAAACAAAATAAATCATACAATAATAGACCATTAATCCGTTTTATTCGTTTAAAGTTTTACAATAACTATTAATATGTCTGCAAATTCTTAAGGTGACCTGGGCCAAAATACGTTTATGAAGATGTGGACTCTGAAGTCTTTGATCTGGAAGAATGTTCCATTGATCCTTTCACATTACACAGTATTCCATCACTTCTTTAAAAGTGAGTATTCCATCACTTTTTTTAAAACCTTAGCGTTATATGCTGTTCATTCGTTACATTTATTGAGTTATACGAAGGGGTTACAGTGAAGTAGATTATTAACACTTTACCTTGTTGTTATATGTCTACAATACATGGGTGTATAATCTCACGTAACCTGCACCCAAAGATGTTCAAATGTTTCACTGACTGGTTTAAGGGTTTATTTAGGTAAGTGTAACATAAATAACCCTTTATAAACAAATACATTTTAATGTTTTTTAAATGTCTAGAGTACAAAAAACAAGTTAAATAACCTAACTAAATGCTTAGTACGTATTAGAAATAGTTCTTATCGTATCTGTATGGTTAGATCATTTAAATGATATTTGTAATTTGCAACAATGACGTTTATATCTGACAAAACTCAGTCCCACTTAAACATACTTTATTTATAAAAAATACACATCTATGAGTGACAACACTGATAAACCGAACCAAAATGGCCATGAGCTGAAATATGATGACGAGTTACGCCGACTAATCGGTTGTCTAATTGTTAAATCGATGTAGGCATAGCGTCTTTGTTACAAGTTTCTCTCTCCGTCTTCAGTACTTTTCCATGAGACGCCCTCTTGTAAACACTACAGCCTGCAGCCAACCAGAATCCAACAAACACAGGCTGTTTTTTCTGTTAGCAGCTTTAGCTTTGCTGCTAAACTTTAGTGTGAAGCTAGACAACATTTTATGCTGCAGCGCAGCTAGCGCTATATTCACGCTTTCAAAATAAAGGCAGATTTATTGCCAGAAGCCGAGATTTTAAGAGGTATTTTTATGATTGATTGTTTCAAGCTCAAAATATAGAAAGTGTCAAGTTTCGTAAGAAATTTGTAATAAGCGAGAATGTTTTTAAAAAAATTAATCGAAGGATTATATAAAAATACTACCAACTTGCTATATTTACTAAGCTATGGTAAGTGGTAAGTAAACTGTTGTGTGTTCACTACTAGGGTCATGTACTTAGTTTTGTTTATTTTTACTTTTTTTTTTGTAAATTTCATTGTGAAAATTGGCCTCGTGACAGTAGTGCAACTCAAAGATGTAACGTCATCAGCCTGATTAGCTTAGCCTATCAAAAGTGTTATTGTCATTTGATAAGAAGTGTGTGTTTGTTTAATGTAAAGTGGATAAAGGGAATAGTCCTGTTTTGGTGTTTTGATTTTTTTTAGCGCGTTTCTGTCTGTTTTACTAATTTTTATATTCCTTTATTTGGTGTCTTATTTTGACATCGCAAAATAAATGTTGTGAGTGTTTGTTTTAGGTAACTTGACTCCTCCCTCTTGTATCGTCTGCAGTTATCTGTCCGATCACTTCCCAGCAGAGCATAGCAGAGAGCAGTCAACCCGTCGTGTCTCTACCCGAGGCCGGATGGTAAAATCCAACCTCCAGCGGATCCTAAACAGTCATTGCTTTGCTCGTGAGAAGGAAGGAAAACATCAGTCTTTAACTACCATGGCGGATTTAGGAAGCGGAATCTGTGACATGATTGGGAAGTAAGTAAACGAAGAGGAAAACAGCGCAACCTTAGATGCTAACCGTGACGTTGGGGGAGGGGTAGCTAAGCTAACAGGGCTAGCCGACGCCGAAAATAAGCGGAAGTCCGACGTATTTTGTTGTTTAGTTTCATTGTAACATCCCAAAACAGCCATGTGGTGTTTTAATCAAAATCGCGCATACGTTTGACCCCATCTTCAAAACTGCCAACTTTAAAATAAGTATTTTTGACTGACGAGTAATGACGACAGTCGTCAAATTAGCTAGCGTCGATCGTGGACGTCGTTAAACATGTTACGTCACGAGGAGAAAATAGGAAAACAAAAACTTTCATACACAAAGAAAATACACAGAGGTCATATAAACCAACACACTTTTATTAAAAAAGTAATTGTTAAACTACTCCAAACCTGCGTTACAATAGTTCTTTTATAGGCCGTTTTCTGAAGACACCTTTAAGGAGATACGGTATCTACGCTCATGTCAGACTTAGCGTTTGAAACCACTAGTGATACAATGTTTACAGAATATTAAAGCATATAATTTAAATTTATTTAAAAAATAACAGAAGAACATGTCGAAAGGATGGAATCTAAGCGCGTGCTTGTGACTCTTAAGGGTCCCGTGAGTTACCAGCTGAGTCAAGTCTGTTATTACGTAACTGTCAGGTTAACAGGTTACATCTCGCGAGATGTTAGCCCCGGGTAGTGGGTTGTAGTGTAGTGGAAACAAGAGCGAGATGTTTATCTGTCGTCATATAACACCAAACTTTTAATATTTCCAGTCCGTCCAAAGTGTCGCAATTGTTCCTAATTAATTGGCCCGGTCTTTAAAGGCGAAGAAGTTGATATATCCGCCATTTTAGTCGCATTTTAAAGATAAAATGTGTTTGGAGACGATGAAGGCTAATTTATTTATTATCTGTTACTCATTAATTAAGTTCATAAAAATTCAATTCTAGATAATAGTGGTCAGTAATTAAAGATACATTTATTTTCAGTAGAGAAACAACACACACAGGATGTTTGTTATCACTTATTTAGTAGATAAATTAGTGGTTAGCCAGTGTGGTTGAAGCTGATGACTCATAGCGATTCCAGTCGGCATTTAGTTTGTTGTGTTTACAAGATGTGTCAGTGGTCACAGATATCACAGTCTGAAATGATTATCTGGTCACGTATGATAAATACAATTGTTTTCGTATATAAACGAATATGAATGATCATTATCAATAATTTGCATTAGGTGATATAAATAATTTAAAAAGAAGTCCAAAAAAGCAGGGGGTGATTTGGTAAGAATGATACGATAGTATTGCGGTACTATAGGCACCACAATATGTTGAGTTTTTAACAATTTAACTGTAGGATAACTGTTAGCATAGAAAACACAGCATGTTGTTAAACATCAGGTTTCTAAAATTTGGTTCACAAAGTGAGGGGCAGACCCTTTGAGTAGTGGTCGGGTCCAGCTTACCATTAACTAGCTAACCAGCGTCTACGTCTAGTTTAATCATTTATTTTAGTCCAGATCAGTTGCTGTGAGTCACCGTGACTCTTCAGGGTTGTAACGTTACAATATATTTTCTGGATTCTCCTGATGTTGTGGTGTCTCTGCTCCTCCTCCCTCCGCAGCCTGTCCCTGCACTGTAGTAGTACCCGCGGCCCAGGGCCTCTGTGGTGCTCCTGATGCCCCTCTCCCACCCCTGAAGATCCCAGGTGGGCGAGGGAATGGCACACGGGATCACACTCCTTCAGCTCGGCCGGTCTACTCAGTAAGTCTGGACCGTTCACACCTTCTCATGTCTGTGTCGGTCTTTTTATTTCGGAGGAAGAAGTGAAAATGGACGAGGAAATAGCTCTGCCAAAGCCCATTTCCTGTCATGTGATCACATGAAACATAAATGTGGAAGAAAATCATCCACAAGAAAGAAGAATGTTCTTAGCACTGTGGCTAATGTGGGTGGGTTTTGTTTGTTTGTTTCCCAGGACCGTAAGTTGACTGTGACGGAGGAGCCGGCAGGAAATGGTCGCCCGGGGATTCTCCACTTCCAGACGCACCCCACTGTCACCAAGACAATTCAGCTGGATGCTGTCCTGAGCAACGGCGCCCTGTACGTGGAGATACCACTGGAGCCGCTTCCTGAAGGCAGCAAGGAGAGGTGAGGGCGGAGCCAACAACAACAATCCAACAGTTTAAAAAAAAATGTTAATGTTTTAGAACCGTAATCTGGTTCAGTTGGATTTTGTATTTTAAGGCAGGCACTTTTAGGGCAGCCTAAAAGTGGTAGAAATCGAGTTTATCACCATCAGGGTTGATGGTTGTTAGTGTGTAAGAGCGTCTTAACCTTTGCTTCTGCTTTTCTTTTTTTCCTTTTTTTTCCCTCGTCCAGTTTTGCTGCTCTCCTGGAATATGCCGAAGAACATCTGAAAGTTGTTAGCGTGTTTGTCTGCTTCTACAAGAACAGAGATGATCGAGGTACGTGCATGAAAAACTCCTGTTTCTGCCCAAAACATTTACAGTTGAAGAAATACTACTTCGTACTACTGTTGAACTGACCGTGAAATAAAGTCATGAAATACCAGTTCCTCTCAGAAGCCCAGGGTCCTGTGTTGACGACGTCCTCCTCTTCCTCACATTAACATTTTCTTCTCCTCACTTTGTTCTTGCAGCCAAACTGGTGCGTACCTTCAGTTTTCTGGGCTTTGAGATTGTGAAACCGGGCCATGCCCTCGTCCCACCTCGACCCGACGTTTTCTTCATGGCGTACAGTTTTGATCGGGACTCCTCGGACGAGGAGTAGACCCCCCCCCCCTCTTCTCTCACCCAACCCCAGCCTTAGACAGCTCCCCCCTCGGCCCCCGATCCTTTTCTAGTTTCCACGCAATTTTGCTCGCCCCCTCCTGCTCCCCCATCACTCACCCGTATACTCCCACGGCCTGCGCTACATGTTTTATTCAAGGGATTTAGTTAAGCTGTTTTTTCAAAGTGTTTTCATTCACTGTTTCTGTGTCATCAATGGTGTCGCGTCGTCCAAAGGAGGAAAACCTTTGATCCTCTGACTCTCCATCCGACTACACCCGGTGTAGCGACTAATAAAGTTCTTCACTTTGTTTTTTGTCAACTCATTGATGTTTGACTGATCAGGTCAGGGTTGTTCATCAGGTTTACACTGATCTTTTCACGGTTGGCTAAATATTGACGATTGTTTGAGTGGGACCACGCCCTCCTTTGAAGTATTAGTATTTTGTGTTTCAACTACAGCCCCAATAATTGGTACTTATTAGCAGATGAGTGAATCGGTTTAGCGTAGAAGCGAAGCGACCGGCGACATCGGGACGCCTTTGTTTGCAGTTTAAATACCCTGAGAGTGTGTGCGTGTGCATGTGTGTGTGTGTGTGTCTGTGTCGGTACAGAGCGGAGGTATTCCGAGAAGAATTCCAAAGTGCTTTTGCATCTTTCTGCTGTGTGTTATCTGACGCTGTTGTAGTGTGCTGTTGTGGAGGATTGGAAAAAAAAAAGTTGTTGTGAATGGAGCTTTTTTTTTATTATTATTATTTCTTTTAGATTCTCTAAGAATAGCATTCCTTTGCAATTTTTCTTTTGTTTGTTTTTGTCATAAGGACTTTTTTCACCTTGCATAGTGGTACCTGTGTGTGTCTGTGATAATAAAACAAATAAAACCAACTGTCGTCTTGTGGTCTTCCACTGCAGATGCTCGTGAATGTTGGTGCCATATTTAACACCGTAAAATACATTTTATTTCCACTGTGACTAAATGAAAATTCTTGGTGCAAAAAAAATTAGGTCAGTAAACAAAAGACAGCCACAGCATGTAATGCCGCTTTTGGCCACCAGGAGGCTTCTCAGTACTGAAGTAATAATGGAATTCATTGTCCTGCTTTTATAGGCTTCATGTTTGAACTGGTTTGAATCCTGATGTTTACAGTCGTTGCAGATTTTATTTCTTTAATTATTTTATTTATACATTTGTGTCTTTGAGTCTCTGTAGTAACAAGTCCAGGTTTAGGCCCTAAAAGGGAATTTCAAAATAAAAGCAACTATCAAATATATACTTTAATATAAATCTGTTCTAATTGTTGTAGTTTTGCAGCTGGTGTCGATGAAGCGTCATTTAAAAAAACGTGTAAGTCCCTGTCTATTAGTGGTGCAATGACCTAGTGGTCAGAGTGTACACTACACCTAAAAATATACATAAAGGAAACAGGGCACGAGAAGGTCATTGAATCCAAATATTTAATTGGTACATATCAAATATTATCATGACATGTATAAAATTTCAGATCACAATATGAAGCAATGGAACTCCTCAGACCGCTGCGGTGCGCGAGGTTGCCACATACAAAGTGTCTAATGATTAAAAGAGAAGTGACTAAAACGGTAGAAAAATAAAGCGCAGACGTAGGTAATAGTAGGCTCTCTAGTAAAATTAAACGTGGAACTCTTTTCTCGGGGAGAGAGTGCAAGAGGGGGAGAAAGAACAACACAGCACGAAAGCCAAGTGTCCACGTGTGCATGAAGAACTGTTAGGTGGTGTAGGCTCACGGAGAGGAGGAGGAGGAGGAAGAGGAGGAGACGGCGCAGAGAAAGAGGAGGAGCGGAGGTCGGAGCAGAGAGTGAGAGTGGGGAGGGTTCCAAGCGTGCCAGGAAAAGGAAATAACCTTTGAACCAGGTCAAGCAACAGATGCACGTCACAGTTAGCACAGAGTAGCGTTTGAAACGGAGGAAGTAGATTTAAAAAAAAAAAAATCCTGAATGAATGAATGAATGAATGAGAATAAATGAAGCACTGAACGGAAACGAGGAAATGACTGTGAACAAACCCAACCACTGGTCAGAAGTTGTCTCAAGGCTGTGAAGAAAACATGGCTTTGCCCCCGAAAAAGGCAGGAAGTCGTGAACTTGATGACCTTAATGAACGACGGTGACGACATTTAACCCCGTAAAAAAAAAAAACTCAAGTGTTGAAACCACTTTAACCTTAATCTGGAGTCTGGCGTTCTGGCTAGCCTCCATGGGATGTTCACGTTAGCGTTAGCTCCTGATACGCCTGCCAACGCTGGACATTTTGTAGGCAACACGTCCAGCCCACATGGATACATACTAACTACATATGAACTGTACGGACGGGCTACGTTACTTGTAACTGTAAAACGTAAAAACCTTTTCATATGACGGTGAAGGCATCACTGCCTAGTTCAGCGAACCAATCAGATTTAGTTTTTGATAGAATTTTTTATCGTGACATAAAAATGAACAGTGAACGGTTTCTCTTTGATTTTTCACCAGCGTGATTTTTCTCCAACAAAGTTAGATCTTAAAAAAGAAACGTTTGGAGTAAAAATTAAGAATTTGTCCCAAAAAAACCAACCTCGAAATTCAACAAAGTATTCGGTTCAATCTTGCAGCACAATTGAAACCGGTTTGAATCAGTTTTTTATCCCTGTGGTAAATGTTGGTTTTACACTGATTAAAGTTGTCCTTTGGACTTTGATCCTCGCTCAACAACTCTCTTCTTCATTGATCTTCATTACATCTTGACCTGTGACCTTTGACACAGGTCACCTTCGTTAACCTTTGATTAAAGGTCATTTTTGATGATCCCTCTCTGGACTGATGCTTAGGATCTGGAAAACTATTCTGACTTTTTCGTCCACTTCCTTTGACCTTTGACCTTAGGTGAATCAGGTCAGGTCACCTTTAATACTGAAGCCTGTTAAAGCTTCAGTTTCCAGAAGACGTCGTTGGAATTGTGCGTGGTTTCTTTTTTTGGTTGTATTCCAATTGGTCGGCCAAAGACTTTGGACTTTTTCGCTCTACTGCGACTCAGGTGTCACATTTGGTCTGTGCATGATGTCGCAGTGTAAATAATAATAAATGGTAAACAAAGATGGCGGAGTTTGTACTTTGTATCTTTGGTCAAGTAAGACGTTCTTTTACATTTGTATAAAATAAAATGGATTTTTTTTTTGTTTCTATTCACATCCAGTCCAATAATTGAGCGGAACAGAAAACACTTTTCATTCTGACCCTGATGAGACCAAAGCACGGAGACCAAATATCATCAAATATTAAAAATAAAAAATAAAAACAAATAGCCCAAATTTCATCACATGCCAGGAGGATGTGGACAGAACTGAAAGCTTGTTGTGCACCGAGATTAAAATGATTTTTTTTGGTAAAAGCTGCCAAATTAAAGGCCGTGTTTTTTGGGGCTGTACTTCACAGCTGTACTTTGAATTTCTCTAGTGACTTCAAATACGTAAATTCACGGAAAACAAAATGTAACCAGGTTGGCAGGAATCTAACGGCAGGTTTCAGGACGCTCTCCGACGGCGCTGTGCGTCTTAGCGGCAGACGGAGAAAACTTACAAAACGAGCTCAGGTGACGAGTCGGGAATTTGTCTATTTGTGCGTGTGTGGCAGGAGCGGGGGAGTTCACAAACGTCCGTGGTTGAATTTCAGGCTGGTGACGTTGTTCAACAGATGAGGTCAAATCCCTACTGAGGTTGTTTGTGTGTGAATGATTGTGTATATATTAACGGATGTATGTGTCATATACATTTGCCTGTGAGTATCTAAGTACAGGGAGAGAGTGCAATGCCATCGAGGGAGGAGCTGCAGGTACTTGACGTTATACACGGTTGCACTGGATGAATGCTGATGTGCGTGTTTATGAACGGACTCTGCTCGGACGCCGGGACTTTCCGCCTCACCGGCCTTTGCTGTAGCCCGGAAAGAACTGGTCGAGCAGCACCTGTAGGACCTTGTTTTGGGTCATGACGTAGTCTTTGCCCAGGTCGTGACGGCAGGCGGGGCAGGTGTACACCTGCGCACGAAACGACCTCTGGAGACAGTTCTGAAAAAAGGAACAGTGACTCGTCATTTATTACACATCAGTGCAGCACCATATACAATGTTGTTTGTTTTTTTTTCTAGGACAGTGAAGGCATCACTGGCTTTAGTCTCAGACTGACTAGTAGGGATGTAACGATGCATCGTGAATTGGTTAAAAATCGATACAAATATGTGACAATTCACATCGGTTGAAATAAAAAAAATTAATCGTGCGTCAAAGTGTAAGTCACTGGTCATACCATGACACTACACAGTCTGGTACAGTAGGTGGCAGTATGTGCCTTAAAAATGTTGGTTGTGACCCATTATTAAACCAAGACGTGAGGTCGCTACGTAGCTACGTAGCTTAAGTGACATTCAGGTGTTGAGACAGAACATGGGAAGAACTTGTGTTTTACAGTGTTCTTGTAACCAAATAACCCATGGACTGGTACAGGTACATGGACCAGGGATTGGGAACCCTCAGCTTGTAGCATATTTTTGGGTCAAATAACTTGAAAAAATAATAGCATTACTAAAATTGCATTTGCAAAATATTTTGGCTGCCACAGTATATTGACCATTGGCCAAATCGACCCCTGACCTTTTTTTTTTTTTTTTTTTTTTAAACAGTGCTGGGACAAACCTTGCAAACGTTGTGTGAGCAGACGGTGGTGACGGGTTGGAAGGCTAGCTCCTGGCAGCACACACACATGAAGATCTGCTCCATCTTGCGCAGGAAATTCTTCAAAAAAGACACAAACAGAAGGGGATTTTACTGCAATATGTTCAACTGAGGAAAATAAATACTCCAATGCAGAAGGTTGTGGGTTAGATTCCACCAATCCCAGCCAGTCAAACTGACTGTGTTGTTAGTGAGAGTCCTGGGACTCGTACCGGTCCTTCTTTGAGGTGCTCCATGGCTTCATCCCAGAGTTTCTTGTTGGCTGTGTCCTCTTTGATCAGCTGCTCCTGCTGCTGTGACAGTTTGAAGGTTTCCTCCACCTTCGCTCGTTTAGTGGCGGGCTCTGGTACAGGTGACAAGTCTGACGCACAATTTTGAAGAGACAAAAAAAAAAAAAACACATTTAGAGGAGCAGAAAAAAAAATCGATAAAACTTGTCCGTGGTTTCACACAGATACAGTATTTGTTATTGACCTGAGCAGGGACGTAACGAGACCCTCAACTCACGATACGATTGGCTATTTTTACAATACAATTTTATCATGATTTCTTTCCTAAACAAAACGAGCTACAGACAAATTCTGACCAGATACAATGATCCTTTATTTGTAAGAATGTTAAATTCTGTTAAATTTGCCAAAACAATACATTCCAATATTGTCCAAACACAACACTTTAATGTCTGATTCCGATATCAACCAATATACCGGTATATGCAGTCGTTTTCTTTCCCAAAACTGCAGTAAACGTAAAGCGATTCCAGCATATTTGGTGAAACCCAGGTTATACGTTATTGGATTTTTATTATCAGAGAAAAAAAAACAATTACGATTCTTACAGATATGACATATTTATGCTAATATCGGGACGATTATATTGTTTTGTTTTAACACCTGAATGTCATTTAAGCTACGTAGTGACCTGACGTCTTGGTTTAATAGTGGGTCACAACCAATGTTTTTAGGCCCATACTGCCCCCTACTGCACTAGAGTGTGTACTGTCATGGTATGACCAGTGGCTTTTTAAGATAACGCATCCTACTCTTTAAGCCTTAATATGCGATTCAATGTGAGTCGTTTCGCATTTGTATTGATTTTTAGTTCATCGTTATATCCATGTAGATGACAACGCTGGGTCGGACGAGAGAGGAACACTAACCATTGCTCGTCTTCTGCTCTCCTTCCATTTCTTCTTCTTCTTCTTCTTCTTCTGCTGCCTTGTCCTCGAACTCCTCCTCTTCCTCCATACCGACGTCATGCAACATGTCCTCTTCCTCGTCACCCGCATCCTCACTCTCCTTCCTCTTGCGTTGTCTCTTTGGCCTCCCCCTTCCAGCGTAGTGCTTGCCACGGCCGCCGCGACCGCCGCGACCGGGTCTGGCGATGGCTTCCTTCTTCGTTTTGTTAGCCATAGCTGTCTGGTATCCTGGTGGATACTTCAGAGTACAGGAAAGAAGAGGAATTAAGAGTATCATAAATATGCACAGACCAAGACTGTGAGCCGACAGGAAACTCGAAGCCTAACCTGAACAGCCAGGCCCAGTTTCTTGATCCGCTCCTGTCCCTCAGGGGTCCACGGGGCTGGTTCCAGATCATCTCGTCTGAGCAGGTACCGCCAAACCAAGTAACCACATTTTCCGATCTCTGGCCAGTACTTCACCACCTACGATCCCCACATACCACGAGAATAAAGAATTCTTCAAAGTCAGAGGTGTGACATGTAAGGACTGAGCGCACGTTTGTTTGTTTTTTGCCAAATAACCTCCAAATAAAAGATCGTTTCTAGGGATGTCCGATATTATCGGCCCGATATTAGCATAATTATATATGTAGGAATCAGTATCAGTTTTTCCTCCGATAATGAAAACCTGATAAGGGCATGCCAAATGATGTGTGCCCTAAAAATATTATTGGGAAAAAACAGTTGTATGCGAAAGTGAAAACCACTAGATGGCAGCATTACAGCTCATTTTATTAATTTATTTTAATAATCAGGGGATTGTATGTAAAATGTTGGTGCCAGCAACTCATACAGTGGTTTGTACAGATAAATAAATAAATATTACCAGGCACTCAATAGTATTTTAATTGAGGGGATGAAGAGGTGTGAAAAAACATCTGTCCCCTAGGGGGGAGGAGGGGCATGGCAGAAAATAATTGAGAAACACTGCTTTAACCCATTACCTTAGTGACGACACTTAACTTCCTTAACCACTAGGCCACCACTGCCCCGCTATATCGGTATCGGTTGATATCGGAATGAAAGTATTTGGAGAATATCGGATATCGGCAAAAAGCCAAAATCGGACATCCACTACTTCTGAGACCACGCTCAATCCTCAACATTTCTCTGTGGCCTGACGACAGCCATTATCGCGTCTGTACCTTATAAATGCCGTCGTAGCGGTTTCCCTCCTCGGGAGCGTACTTGCTGATGCGACGACCCTTGGAGCTGCGCACCACCCTCACCGGTTTCCCTGCCCTCCAGTTCTTGGACTCTGCTCCGTCTTTGTCATTCAGAGGTGCATCACAGTTCAAGGCCAAGGCCCTGCAGGAGTCGGGATCAAAGGGAATCAGTGTTGGTGTTTAATAATTCCGTCTCAGGATCAGGGCTGTCGATGAATAAATTATCAATTCTATTACGACACTAATCCCCCGCGGAGGATGTTTGTCGAGCTGTAGATTAGATCGAAAACTCATTTTCAAATAAAGTCTTACAATTTAGGAGGAAAAAATAAAACACATCATTTATTAAAAATACATTCACTCTGAATTTTTAACCGAGCTCACATTGAGAAGAAATTCTCGCCAACTTCTATGTCAGCGTGCAGCGTAAATAATCAATCGCACACGTGTCAAAGTCAGACCGGTTCAGACCGGTTCACACCTGTTCATGTGCGTCAGGGTCTGGTCGAACGAGTGCTCGCCGATCCTTTTGTTTCCTGAAAGGTCACGACCCCCGCTGCCTGTGTATGTGAACTCATCTCCTCTGTCCTGAACCGAGGAACACAGACACATCATTGGCCTCATTGGCCACTAGCTCAAAGGTCAAAAGGTTAAATATCGTAGCACGCAAACACAAACACACACCACTTCGTCCTCGAAGCCTCCGGCCAACACCAGCGAATAAGAGCCATCGTTGCTGCGGCCGTGGATTCCGCCCACATGTGGCCTGTGAACGCCAGCCTCACTCACCTGGAAAAACAAAAAGGGTTTAGGATTAGTGGTGGGATTAGAGGTTTCGCAATTATTTTGTATTCGTATTAAAAAGCAACACAGAACTCACATACTGTACATGGGTAGCTACGTCACTGACCCACGCTAACACAATGCTAACATCATGATCTAAGACATAAACATCGTCTCATTTACGCCTGGAAGCCACGATAAAGGGCACAATGTTCCCTGCTTCTTTACACTGTGGGGAGTTGTAGCACCCCCTGGTGGGGAGGGAAAGTACCTACACACTGTATTTACAAACAGTTGCCTAAAATCCAACTCTACGGGTAGAAGTAATCGAAGTACAAATACAAGTTACAGTTATACTGTCGCAGCGCTGGTTTTTTTGCCCTCCAAAAAAGTTACAGTTATACTGTCGCAGCGCTGTTTTTTTTTTTGCCCTCCAAATAACACCGTGCTGCCATCTAGTGTCCTGGATAAAAACATTGATAAGTACTGCTGTGGTGAGACAGCTTACTTGTACTCTGAACTTCCAGGTGGTTCCCACCGGAACACCAGGGATCGGACCGTAGTGGTTTGAAGGAACAATCGTACATTCTTTAGTGCGACCCACACAAGCCATACCCTGTGAAGAAGAAGAAGAGGAAGAGGAGGAGGAAGAAGAAGAAGAAGGTGAAGAAGAAGGAGAAGAAGAAAAAGGAGAAGGAGAAGAAAGGAGAAGAAGGAAGAAGAAGGAGAAGAAGGAGAAGAAAGAAGGAATAAGGAGAAGGAAGAAGAAGGAAGAAGAAGGAAGAAGAAGAAAGAAGGAAGAAGAAGAAGGAGAAGGAAGGAAAAGAAGAAGGAAGAAGGAAGAAGAGGGAGAAGGAGAAGAAGAAGAAGGAGAAGGAAGGAAAAGAAGAAGGAAGAAGGAAGAAGAGGGAGAAGGAGAAGAAGAAGAAGGAGAAGAAAGGAGAAGAAGGAACAAGAATGAGAAGAAGGAGAAGAAAGAAGGAATAAGGAGAAGGAAGAAGAAGGAAGAAGAAAGAAGGAAGAAGAAGAAGGAGAAGGAGAAGAAGAAGAAGGAGAAGAAAGGAGAAGGAAGAAGGAAGAAGGAAGAAGGAGAAGGAAGAAGGAAGAAGGAAGAAGAAGGAGAAGGAAGAAGGAAGAGGAAGAAGAAGGAAGAAGAAGGAAGAAGGAGAAGAAGGAAGAAGAAAGAAGGAAGACGAAGAAGAAGAAGAAGGAGATTATTAGATGTAACATTTCTGGACTAGGAAATACATTTTTTTATGTAATTGTGAGATGATATTTGAGAAAAGGTCGATCGTTCATTTGCACGAAACAGACATTAGACGGAAAAAAAACAACCAAAACCTTTAGCCGAGAAAAGAATGTAATTTTGGTTGTTACTAAACCTCATTAATGTGAGACTCAGGCATTATTGCCATGTGACTCACTCTGCACTTAAATGGTGCCCAAGCATAAAAGCTGGGCTGTTTTCAATTAGTCCTGGGAGAAGGGGAGCGTTCTGGTAAAGACCGAGGTTATTTTTCCATTGGCAGTTTCCAGGAAAAGGGTCTGAGGGCTTTTCTTAACTTCATTGTTCACATTAAACCATGGAGCGGAGTCACACGAGCACGACGGAGTGGTAATAAGACACACACCAGATCTGCCGTAAAAAAACAAAACAAAAAAAAACCAAAGAACCTCAAAACAGATGCAAAACAAAACTGTATTTAAACACATGTCAGCTGTGCGGTCGGCCGCTCCAGAAACTGGATTAAAATCATTTTTTGCTATGATTCGGTCGTCAACACTTAAGAAAACAAGGAAAAGGAAGGGGTGTCATACAGAGGGCATTGGCCAAGATATGAGTAGACAAAATCAACCAGAGATATTTGGTTGTTTCCTACCCAACAATAATAAATTAGAGTTACAGAAATCCACATTAGTGGAAAAAGCTGTGTTGTGGTGGAGAAATAAACATTTAGGTTTGATAGAAAAATGGACGGATAGATATTTGGAAAATTCAGGTGTTTTTTTTTTTTTTGATAAATATTTTATTGTTCTTTTCTCATTTATATTTGGGGATTTTTTTTTCTCTCAAATCAAGCATGACATATTCCACATTCCAACTTTCTTTTCCAACACTGGTGTTTCTGTCCCTTCAGGGCAGAGTGAAGATGACACAGCTCCCCCCTCAGGCTCTCTACTGTCCCTTCCTCTGGTTGTCAGAGATCACACGCTCACCTTTCCCCAGTCTCTCTGACTCTCGGTCGTCGCCGAGGGCATCTTGGCTTTCTTCTTGCTGGCTTTGAGCTTCTCTCCGGCTTTCACCACCTCGCTGGTGTCATTTTTACAAGTGGGACAGTACCTGGCAGAGGGACAGGAATTCACTTCCAAGTGAGGCCACAATCACCAGGTTTTAACGCACAGCACGGTTACTGGGCCGTGTGACTGAGAGTTTAGAAGACGTTTAACGTCTGTGTCTTCACGACTGCTGTCTCTAACAGTTGGCATTGGCCTTAAAAAATACATCACATATATACTTAAAAAACATAGCTATACACAGAAATGTATGTGCTTATATGTATACATATAAATATATACACATATAAATGTTCATATACAAACATATATATATACACAGATATACAGTATATATTTAAATGCATAAATGTATGTATAAGTACATGTAATGTACATATATATGTACATATGTATATTTATGTAAAATATATAGCCAAATATATACACACACAAATATACATGCATATATCTGCATATATGCATGTATATGTATGTATATACATATATACATACATATACACAAATAAATATACATACATATATCTACATGAATGTTGATATATGTATATGTATGTATGTGTATATATATATTTATATATGTATATACATATATATATATACATGTATATATATTTATATATGTATATACATATATATATATACATGTATATATATTTATATATGTATATACATATATATATATACATGTATATATATTTATATATGTATATACATATATATATATACATGTATATATATTTATATATGTATATACATATATATATATACATGTATATATATTTATATATGTATATACATATATATATATACATGTATATATATTTATATATGTATATACATATATATATATACATGTATATATATTTATATATGTATATACATATATATATATACATGTATATATATTTATATATGTATATACATATATATATATCAGTCCTCGTCGGCCGGGATGGTGGCCAGCGGCGGGTTGAGGCAGTAGATGTGAAATGCCATGTTGCACTCGTCACACAGCAGCTGCATGTGAGCGTCCTGCTTGCCGCCGCACACGCAGCAGGAGCAGAAACGACACTCGGCCTCAGGGTCGGCCTTGCAGTGTTTGCACTCCGGCCCACTCTTCCCTGCAGCCAAGGAGGACGAGGAAATATTTATGCACGCACATATTTTCCACATACCTTAGAAAACTGATGTGGAGCGGACCACTGTGCTCTGACGGAGCTGCTGTTCTAACAGTTTAACAAAGAAAAAAAAAACAAAAACCAACCTGTGTCGTGTGTTTTAATTACAAAATCATGATTAAAAACCTATAAACATTAGTGTTTTAATAACAGTTATTGACTGTTGTTGGGTTAATGAACTAATTGAATTACTACTGGATTATATTACATTTCCAATGAGAATAATAAACTATGTCAGTGGTTCTCAAACTGTGGTTCACAATCCACATCTGATTTTTTTTAATATTTTACGCTGGCAATTGCTCTGTGTTTGTGTGTGTGTGTGTGTTTGTGTGTGTGTGTGGAGCTTTACTTGATAAATGTCATAAAAATCGAATTAGTAAATCAAATTCTTCACACACTGTTCTTGGTAATTCTTGCGGATTCAATGTTCTGTGTACACAAAATATTTTTCATAGATATTAAATTTGCCTGAAAGAGTAAAACTATAAACTACTTGAAGACTTTTACTGCTGTAAGGAGTAAGGGTCAAAGGTCATACATACTAATATTCTGAGTGAAATGAGAGAAGTGTGTTTTAAGTCAAGGACGGCTCGTGGTCCAGTGAAAACGACTCAAGTCCTCGTTGTTATTTTCCTGTTTTGTTGTAAGTGATTCAGTGAATTGGTGATTTTTCATTGTAGCATTTGTGTCTGTAATTTCCTGTGATACAAACTTTTAAATTGTCCATCGGCAGCTGAGAGTGCAAGAGCTCCTGGTTTCTCCACCTGGTAGATTTCATCTATGAAGTGAACCTTACAATCACCAATCACATCTCCAGGACCGCTGGACACAGACACAGACACAGACGGGGGGGGAGGACAGAGATGAGATGAGGGCAGAAATATTGAAAGGTTAAACTCCAGCCCCTGATCTGTGAGTCCTCACCCGAGGAGGATCTTGACTCTGAGCTCCTTGTTGGTCCGGGAGGTTTGGTTGATGGTCTGAACCTCAGCGTCGAACCAGAAGCCCCTCTCCTCCGGCGTCTCCATGTTGTAGTTGACCATCACGTGCATGCCCACCTGAAGCTGGTCCCACTGCAGCAGCGTCCTGGCACGTGGTCGAACGTCCCGCAGTCTCATCTCCACCACGCCGTTCTCCGGGTAGCTGCGGGAGAGAACGAGAGAACGAGAGGAAGATAAACAGACGTGGGTCTGGGGCGTGTGTGAAATATTCATGGCTGCTGTCGGCGCTCCGTATTTCACACTGCTTTTTTTTTTTTTTATCTACTGCAAACACAAACGATTTGAGAATTACGTCTCCAGAAAGACCTAAAATATTTATCTCCTTAAAAGTTTCATTATGGGCCTGACAGAGTAAATATGTCCTAAAAGCCAAGAGTGTCATTCCAAGCCACATGTTTTATTTGGTGGAAGTGAAATCGTTTCGTATCCCCGTGCATCACTAAGAGCTGGAACTGAACACTTGTCATCTTTCCGTACCTGAATAAACAATGTAAATGTCCACGGGAAAACACTGAGACGGGTCTGCCCGACGGATGTAACGCAGACTGTTCAACCACTCAGTGGATAAAAACACACACACACACACACACACACTCTTCTGCTGGTCTGTGTGTGTCTATAGAAACCCACGCAGAGGCGAAAAATAAAGCAGCACATGCAGTAACACGGGGGGAAAAAAAGGGGAAGTGACATCCAAGGACTCGAACCTATCATTAACGGATACCGACATAGTGGGGCAGTGGTGACCTGGTGGTTAAGGAAGTATTAAGGTGATGGGTTAAAACAGTGTTTCTCAATTATTCTCTGCCCCCACTGGACACCTCTGGAATTACATTACCTTTGATTACATTTAGCAGACGCTTTTATCCAAAGCGACTTGAACTGAAATACTATTGAGCGCCTGGTATTACTGGCACCAGCACTGCATACAACCCCATCCATACAACAATAATCTATTATTAAAATAGATTAATACAATGAGCTGCAATGCTGCCATCTAGTGGCTTTCACTTTCACATACAGCCCTTTTCCCCCCAAAATTATTTTTAAAGGACACATCATTTTTGGCGAAACCCTATGGGTGTAAGAAAATATCAGTACTCACTGAAATATCGCTACATTTCATTTCACAATACCGTATCGATCAGTGAAGGATCATTAAATTTTCAAAATCAAACATCATCAAATGTTTCTTTTCTTTCTTCTCTAGTGATTCCAAATCCAGTTTTAGTAACTGATGTTCAGATGGAACAGAGTCTGAGACGAGGATGACAGTTTTACTATAATGACATAAAAGAAAACTTCAATATATCGTTGCACCTATAGTATCGCAATATACCGTATCGTTGCCCCGGTATCGTGATACATATCGTACCGTCAGATTCTTGCTGATTCACACCCCTCGTCACTAGCACCAGATATTGAGTGATTTTCTCTGTTTTGGTTTTTGTTACCTCTTTAGCAGCAGTGTAAAAGAAACAAAAAATGATTTAATAACTTGGATTTTTCTTGAGCGTGAAACAAAACCCAGACCCTTCAGGCCTCCAAGTGAGATGTTGATGCACACAGATCTCTGTGTGGGTCTTTTCAAGCCAAAGATTATGATAGATTTTCACCACCGTGGCCTCGGTCCAAATTAAAATTTAATACAGAAACTTTACTGCAGCTGGCAAAGAACTCTTCTTGCTATTTAAAACAAAAAAAAAATCACATATTACTCTGACACAAGTCTCTCACACACCAGTGTGACATTGAAAATGTGAAGAACAAACCGGTTGGTCATGGTTTGGGATAATATGGGTTTTCGCTTGACAACGCCGTTCTTGTTGAGTTTGAAATCAGCCAAGGTTGCCAGGAAACTACCAGACACCAGAAGAAATGATTTCCCCCGGCCGTGAATCAGTTCAACACACAACTCTCTGTTTAGTTAACCCACGTTTGAAACACAAGTGTCGCTTTCACACATAGACCAGGAAAAAAAAGAAGAAGAAGAAGAAAAAGAACATCAGTGTACGTATTTACTGGAGTGTTACGGAAATGAAGGTTAAAAAAGGTCACACTCCTTGTCCTGTCGACCTTGACCTGTGTCAGACACGAGCGTGTAGGTTCACCTAGTCCAGCGGTCAAACTGGACTTTGGCAACATGATCATCAACTGGTGGCCCGCGGGCCACATCTGGTCCACCAAACCATCCAATTCGGCCAAATAAACAAAATAAACATCAAATAAAAATGTTAAAAAATGTGTTTTTTTGATTTTTTTAAATACTATTGAGAACCTGATAACATGTATATTTTTATCTGTACAGTACAAACCACTGTATGAGTTGCTGCCACCTAGTGACAGACCTGTTATTATTCAAGCATTACAGCAGCAGCCATATTCCATTGGAAGCCCCTCAAACCCCCCATGGCACTTCAGAGTGACCGCCTAGAGGGGCCCGCCCCACTATTTGAGAACCCACAAGTTTATTAAGACTCGCGTGCGTTCACAAACACGTATTACAGCCGCCCTGTTATCATCTTCAGTGACCTCACTGTTTGCGGTAGAACGACAAATTTCTGAGTTTCTCCTTTAAGGAGACGAAAACGACGAGCCCATGATATACAACCTGATATACACGTTTGATCATTTCTACGTAAACAAGTTCTGAAGAAGTATTTAATGTCTGCCCATCAAGCGAACAGCGAGTGAATAAAGTGAGGTTAACGTCACAGGTCGTTGCCTGTCAATCACAGTTAAGCTGCAGGAACTCGGCCCGGCTCGGTGAGAGAAGTGACAGCTGGCTCGCCTGCCAATTGCTAGAATTATGCTTGAGGACGAACAAAGACAGTTTCTATGGAAGGTGTTTTAAAAAAAAAAACTGCAAATCAGCCGGAGCGTTCGCGCTCACTCCTCTCACACAGGAGGAAGTGAAGGGGGAAATGGAGAACGGCGTGCCCCCGAGTGAACGCCACATGTTTGCATTTTTCTGGCACAAAGCTGGGTTTAATCTGTCTCCTTCCCAGAGTCTCTGCAGTCTCTGAGTGCTGCCCGTGGTGTGCAGACTAAAAATGACCCAACATTTTTCATATTTCTAGCCCAGTTACAGCCCAGGACATTTCTATTTCAAAGCGTTTGCCAGGGCCTGATAACAACGCCAGTCAAGAGTCGGCAGGAAATTCAACAAATTCAAGGAGAGGTGTAGGGATGGAGGTTAGGATTTTAAACGCGAGGCGCACGTAGGAAAGTGGAAACCAGAGAGCGACAGAATTTGATTTTTACAAGCTCAGACTCATATGGTTGTGTATCGGCACAACACTGGCAACATGATATGGATCGCGATACAGGGGATACAATATGTTGCGAAACTTTAGGCACGTCGATATATTGAATTATTTTTAACAATTTAATTGTAGAAAAAAATGTTGTCATGTGCTTAACATCAGGTTACGAGAATTCAAACAGAGGGAGCGCTAGAGGAAAAAAAAGGAGTTTACGTATAATGTGTATTGACTTGGGTCGCAAAGAAAAAAAAGTTTGGGAAACATTGACGTAGACTATCGATATGGTATCGTGAAACAAAATATCACGATCCATATTTACTTACTTCCCTACAATTTTATTAGCATTGCAACAGAATTGACATTTGGACAAAGAAGCTTAGCACAAATTCCGATATTCCTGCGGAAATGAAAGTTTCCCTGAAGGTATGGGAGTAAGAAGGGAATAGAGTCAGACGGATGAAGTAAATAAAAAAAACAAAAAACATAAAACTCTTCCGCAGTGTAACGAATGTGAAGTTTGATTTAAAATAAAATGTACGCCCTCAAAAATTACATGGGAAATTGAGGCAAAATGACTTATGAACAGAAAAGCTCTCGAGAGTCGGCTCGATGATGAAGCTATCGTCAGGGCTTTGTGTTCTGAGCTCAAGTCCCTGACAAGACGGAGAACGGGATACAGAGAAAATGAAAAAAATAAAATAAAATCCTTCATTTACTGATAAGCAGCTGAATAAAAAATACTCAGACACTAAACAAGCTGTCTGTATATAATTGTTTCCCACTTCGGGAGAAAAACTGCCTGCAGTCTGTCGTACCTGTTTACTGAAGCCAAACTGAGCGGCTTTTACCGCAAGATTCAATAAAGATTTTATTAGAAAAGACAGTGATGTTTGTTTCAGCATTTTATGTTTTTTAATCTTGGACTTATTTAAGAGTGAAGCGTCGTTCTCCTGACTGAGGAGGACGTGCTGCTGGTGTTATAAAGTGCTGCAGGTGGCGCTGAGCTCACAGCAGGTGACCTGTGGTCTGAGCTCTGGACATTGTAGAGTTCAGAATAAGCTTTTTTTTTATCACCTTGATTTATCGTGTTTTAACTATGGTAAACAAGTCCTTCAGTCCAGGACTGAACATTGAGCTCTCTGAGTACCTCCATGACGACCAACTAGACCAATTAGAATATAGCAGCATTCCCTATTAGCTATAGCTAGCTAGTTTATAAATGTTTATAAGATGTTTATAAGAGATATAAGATGTTTATGTTTACATGTTGTATTAATTGTGCACAGTATGTTTCAGATTTATTCAATTGAAAATGTAAATGTGAAAATATGAATTATCCCCGTGTACCACTAGAGAGCGCTCGCATACCACCGGTGGTACGGGTACCACAGTTTGAGAACCACTGCTTTAGAGGGTTTCTACTAGGATTTTGCCGGTGGGTAATTGTGAGCACAGTTTGATTATTTATTATTTTTTTGCTCATGTGTCTGAGATGGGGTTTTTTTCTCAAAGATTATAATTATTCTTTTTAATAAAAATAAGTGAGATTTCTCGCTTCATTATGGATGTTGTTAAATCACTGTAGTTCAGATTAGTTTGTGACAAAAGGAGACAGATTTTAATATCTGAGTGACGAGGACGATAATCAACTTCAGCAAAACCAAGAGAAAAAAAATGAGCAAAACATCTGTTCAACCGTAAGGCATAGACCAAGACCAGAACCTGCCCACATACAGACAGAATTATATATATGTATATATATATATATATATATATATATATACATATACATATATATATATACATACATATACATATATATATATACATATACATATATATATATATATACATATACATATATATATATATATACATATACATATATATATATACATACATATACATATATATATATACATATACATATATATATATATATACATACATATACATATATATATATACATATACATATATATATATATATACATACATATACATATATATATATACATATACATATATATATATATATACATACATATACATATATATATATACATATACATATATATATATATATACATATACATATATATATATATATATACATATACATATATATATATACATATACATATATATATATACATATACATATATATATATACATATACATATATATATATATATACATATACATATATATATATATATACATATACATATATATATATATATACATACATATACATATATATATATACATATACATATATATATATATATACATATACATATATATATATATATATACATATATATATATATATATACATATATATATATATATATACATATATATATATATATATACATATATATATATATATATATATATATATGGCCAAATTCATGTTCCGTCATCAATTATTAAGAAAAAAAATGAATTATTTATTTCTTATTATTTAAAATAGTTTCTCCCTCACAGCTGAAGATGCGATGTAGTACCACTGTTAGAATTCTGTGTTCCACCTCTGTTGACGAGCACGCACTGTATATACACACACACACACACACACCCACACCCCCACAAGGACACATGCAGCAAGGAAGGCATGTCTCACTGGTGGCATGTTCGCCGCAATTACAGAGCGAGCTGAGGAAGGAAGGCTAAGAAGTAATGCTCCTGGGGACCTGTGGGTTGCCATGGAAACGTCAGCTTCTGAATGAATTTGCTGGGAAAAGAGATAGAGTCCAAATTGTAGCATCAACCACACAAACACTCCGCCGGGCTGCCAGGAGGAGGCAGACTCTGCAATAATCAACGCGTCGAAAACACTCGCACTCACACACACACCGACACACACACCGACACACACACACAAAGTGGACATTTTCGCATAAAAAGGCCAAAATGCAGCATCGTCCACACAGGCTATAACTGAAAAAAAAAAGATCTATTTTCTCTGCTATCGTTCACTCCATACGCACTGACTGAAGCCCACATTAACTATCACTGCGTTCTCTCTCTCTCTATTATCACAGTTCTCTCTCTCTCTCAACACTGTGAATACACTGGGTTTCAAACAACTGCCGTCTTATTCCATCTTTTCGAACACAAAGGCCACGGCCTCGCGCCGCGCGTGTCGTCGGCGTGACCAATCGCGATTCGCTCTCAGCAGCAGCAGCAGAGTGTGAGCGAGCGCCACTTACTCCTCGTATTTAATGTGGTATATTGCGTCATCCTCCCTCTCCTGGCTCTCCGTCGCAGCTGTGGAGTCCTTCTGCGAGGTGGAGGCTCCGTTACTGTCCAAGTTCAAAACAACATTATTCCCGTTACTTTCCGTGGTTTGGCCCTGACCGTGGGCCACTTCCTGCTCGGCCTCCAGCTTTCCATTAGTCCTTTTGGAGGGCCGACCCACCTTCCCCTTGGTGGGTGTTAACTGTCCTTTTGGAGCTTTTGTCACTCTTTCAATGCAGGCCTCGAACCAGGCGCCGATGCTGACGTCTCTGCAGTCCACCAACTCGTTAATCTGAGCAGACACAAGGACAAAAATAATATCACCTGGTCTCTTCTCCACTGCAAAACACACACACACACACACACGACTGTCACGGCATGTTGCAGGAATGGAGAATTATTTGGACCAAATGTATCACGGCATGTTGCAGGAATGGAGAATTTGGACCAAATGTATAAAAAAACAAAACTGAAGAAAAGCTGCAGAATTTGGAGCGCTGCGTTTTAATTCAACATCCTTTAAATCCTTTAATCCTTGATCAGTAGGAGAAAAATATGAGGGCAGACTCTCAACATATTTTATTTTAATTTTTTAATTACTTAATTAACGTGTGGTGTGCTACTTTATAAATGAAGCCAATTGTTTTGACAAGAGAACGGATGGTGATGGTATGAAAACTGATTTATTTTCATTGATGACCTCTATACTGGGACTGGAAATCACAGTGTACCATAAAAAAGAGGAGCAACATTAATGTAAGAGAATCTTCTTTTTCTTTCGGCTTTGTCCCTCTTTTTTTTTTCAGGGGTTGCCACAGCAAATCATTGATTTCCATCTCTCCCTGTTCTCTGTATCTTCTACTCTGACTCCAACTATCTGCATGTCCTCCCTCACTACATCCATATATCTCCTCTTTGGTCTTCCTCTCTTTCTCCTACATTATATGAACATAAGAGAATATACGACAGAATCCGATGTCCTCCGTCACTAGTTTAATACTGATATGAAATGATTATTTTAAAGGTGTCTGATTTTGTCAAGACACGTCTGTCTACAGGTCTGTCATGACATATTTGACCAAACTGAAATAAAGTTGGTGAAACATTTGATGGTTTTGCAGATGGACGGATGGATGAACGGATGGATGATGGATGGCTGGATGGATGGATAGATGGATAGATGGATGGTTGGATGATTGATGGATGGATGATTATGGACGGACAGATAGATAGATGGATGATGGATGGATGGATGGATGGATGGATGGATGGATGGATGGATGGATGGACAGAGGAACTGGATATAAGACCTTAGGTCGTGAACCGGTGTGAATGTTGTCACCCTCTGATGGAAACGTTTCTAACAGAAGTGTTAAATGAAGGACATGTAGAGACATCATTTTTTTTAATTATTTTGTCACAGAACTTTCTGACCCAGCCTTGTCTAAACCCAACCCTCCGTTCTCAGAGTTCCTGTCTGTTGTCTCCCTGTTCTCTGTATCTTCTACTCTGACTCCAACTATCTGCATGTCCTCCCTCACTACATCCATATATCTCCTCTTTGGTCTTCCTCTCTTTCTCCTACATTATATGAATGTAAGAGAATATACGACAGAATCCGATGTCCTCCGTCACTAGTTTAATACTGATATGAAATGATTTTCATAGTGTCTGATTTTGTCAAGACACGTCTGTCTACAGGTCTGTCATGACATATTTGACCAAACTGAAATAAAGTTGGTGAAACATTTGATGGTTTTGCAGATGGACGGATGGATGAACGGATGGATGATGGATGGCTGGATGGATGGATAGATGGATAGGATGATTGATGGATGGATGATGGATGAATGGATGGATGATGGATGGATGATGGATTGATGGATGGATGGATGGATGGATGGATGGACAGATGAATGGATGGACAGAGGAACTGGATATAAGACCTTAGGTCGTGAACCGGTGTGAATGTTGTCACCCTCTGATGGAAACGTTTCTAACAGAAGTGTTAAATGAAGGACATGTAGAGGCATCATTTTTTTTATTATTCTGTCACAGAACTTTCTGACCCAGCCTTGTCTAAACCCAACCCTCCGTTCTCAGAGTTCCTGTCAGTAACGCAGCTCGTCCTCACCTTAAACACGCCGATCCCTGGGTCAACGAGTGTGTTTCTGCTGGGTGCAGGCGGCTGGGTGTCCCACACTGGACTGGAGGACTTGAACCCATTTTTGGTACTGGACGAGTTAGTTGTGGCGCTGGTGTCTGGCTTGCTTTCACAAACGGTGCTGCTGCTGCTGGTGCTGGTGCTGCTGTCATTGTCTTTATTGTTGGTTTCCATGTCAGCGTGGGAGACGGCAGTTGAGGAGTTATGGCTTTCAGACTTGGAGTCGGCGGGAGTCGAGCTACAGGCGACGGCCGAGGGGTCCTTGGCGGCCGGGCTGTCTGGAGGGTCAGTCTGAGAGCGGACCAGCAGCTGGACGATGTCGTTGAGACCCACGTTGTAGTCAAACAGTGTCTGGCCATCTTCCATCTGAAAGAAGAAAATCAGAATTATAAAAAAATCAAAAAATTCCTAACCTCCTATAATAAAAAAGATTATACAGAAAAAAAAATACAGAAAGAAATACACGTGTAAATAAAAGCATAAAATCTTAGGTAAAAAAAAATACACCTAAATAAAATAAATTTGTGTTTAAACAAACTAATTCTACTTTAAACACTCATCTGTAGTTTTGAGAATTTAACAGTAATCGACCTTTATGGTATTAAAATGTTATTCATAACAGTAATGGCAGCTAATGCATTAAAGAGACATTATGTGGAGTGAGCAGTTTTATTTGATCAGATTTACCGTAACAGGAACAGACAGAGAAACAGAGGCTCAGAACGCCACTCTCTACTCTCCCTACAGCACTGCTGGTCAACCTGGGGGTTGCGACACCACAGAAAAAAAATTACTCAAAAAAAACCCCTAACTAATTAAACTAATAAGAATAATTAATATTTTTTTAAATGATGATTAAAAACACGATCTTAAACAACTGCATTATTTTACTTTTATGAATATGAATGGAGATTGATTGACGTCTGCGATCATGTGACTGAACAAACGACAGCTACAAAAATGTCTCTGGGGTCGCCAGAAAATTTGTGATGTCAAATATGAGGTCAGAAGCCAGAGAAGGTTGGGAACCGCTGCCATCCTGTCTCTCCTGAAGCTGAGAAAACAGACATTTTCAGATTTACAAACTGACCTGATTCAATATTAATACAAAGAAATAACAAATTCACACACGCTATCATTAATAATATAGAACTATTGTGTAAATATGTAGCAAAACACCTGGTCAAAACCCTCTGTGTGTGTGTTCTTTACAGACTGGGTTCTGCAAGAAATAAATCATGAATTACATGGATATGTGAATTTATGTGATTGCCGAAGTATCTGTTGGCAGGAATGACTGGGTTGCTATGACAACCAGAGGAGAGCATTCCCTCACCTCCCTAACCCGTGAACCTGAATCATGTATAACCAATCGCCGCCGGATCCACTACCGTTGGCGACATTAATATTCCGAGCTTCCTGAGAAAGAAGTTTCAAAAAATTGCGTTTAACCTAAAAAAAAAAAACAAATAAAAAAACCCCCAACAATTTATCATATCTGAGCCCCTTAAATCTACCTGCTCTAAAGGCTCCTCAATACACTACTGTAAACATCAACTGCATTTAGAACGGAGCTCATGGCCGACACGCCGAGTTATTACGAACACCGCGAGCTATTCATTTCCATCCCTCAAACCCACAAGCCCTTTGTGCTTCAGAGACAAGCATGGCCGCCGCTCTGGCTCTCGCTCCTGTTCTCTTCATCGCTAGCGAGGAGGCAGTTTGGAGGCATCGCAGCGGAGCACAGTCGAGGCACCAAGTGCAATCTCCCCGACCCTTTCTGTTTTTAATAGTCTCATGAAATTTAGATCAGAGGAGCAGTGGTGCAAACTCAACCACGGGAGGCGTGCTGTTCTCACCTGTCTGTCTGACTGTCTGACTGTCTGTCTGATTGTCTGTCTGTCTGTCTGTCTTTTCGTGTTACTCCCTCTCATTTTTCTTTGTTTGTGCCTCAGCTCAACGTTCGATTTGGGGCTCGGTAATTGTCTACCCTCCACCGTCTATCTGTCTTTGGCAGAAAGACGACATAACGAACCGCAGGCAGCGGCAGCGTTGAGGACGTTAGACTGGAGTGTCAGAAAACACTGAATTTCCTGCACTGCACCAAACCTCATAAAATCTATCTAAGCTGAAAGCTCGGCTCTCCACAGTGATTACATTACCATCACAACAATCAGACTTCGGGTTTTGAGATGTTTCGGCTGTGATAACCGGCACTGTCCAAACAGGAACACGTTGGTAAAACACTTCAGCTCTTTCAGGGAAACAGGTTTTTTTTTTAAATCAATCTGGTCGTCTCTAATTTGTGAGACAAATTACATTAGTTTTTCCATGTTAAAATAATGCTAAGTAATGATAGTAAGAGTACATTTCTACAGCTGTTTGATTCTGTGTCGTGGAGGAATGCTTCTTCAGTGTTTTGAGAGCGAGACTTCAGACCTCGGTGCAGATTACAACAAAGCTTTCCACCATGTGAACATGAAAACTGTCAACACACAAAAAGAAAAACTCCCTGCATGTTTGTAAAGACGGAAACGAGATTAAGGTGTTGACCAGGATAATATTTCCTTTTGCGCTTTTGCGAACAATATGCCTTGTGTTTACAGATGCTACAGAAGAAGAAACAAAAAAAAAAAAAAATCAGCAAGGGCATTATGTGAAGACGAAACCTGTAGCTGCTGGTGAAAGGATCAGTCTCTGCAAATCTTTCTCTGCTGTTTGAAAGCACAGCCAATAATAGCAACTAAAACAGAAACTGGGGATGAAAATATACTTGACTGACGCTTTATTATTTTGTCCTCGCCGAGTGTCTAACTCACCAGCTGTAAAGGATCTTAGTGTGGGATTCATTGTAAAATAATTGTCACTCAGCAACACTTTCTTATCAGCTCTGCCTGCATAGCAACAACAGAAACTCTTGCGCTTTTCCCGTGCAGCTGGATGCAAAGCAGAGAAGAAAAATAAACCCAGGACTTCTTAAAGACGCTGGTTTAATATCAGATCCTGTTTGTTTAAATACAGGTTAAAAGATGGGACGCATCCGCATGGCTAGTGGGAAAGAACCTTCATAGCGAGACAGATGTTAGCATTTTTTTTCCTGCTCGGGAAGGTCATCCAAAAACCTCAAACTCCTACACAATTTCTCCCTCGCCCTGTTCCTTCACGCCCACGGCGTTGCCTTCTTAGCAAAAAGCTGAGCACAGTGGGTCAAATTTCCAAAAACAATGGCGAGGGATGTGCCTGCGTGTCTGCCAATTACCTCGCCTTCTCGCGTTTGGCCTCTCGTTCCTCGCTCTGTCCACTAATCCAATCTTTTCTTGAAAACTTCCATGGCTCGACAGCACAGCTAGCTAAAAGGTTGTTGCGCTTTCTTCTCCTCTGCTAGCGTTGTTTTATGGCCTGATCTTTATTTGTTTGTACAAGAACAGTGGTGTGCGCTGCCTTTTCTCTCATTTTAAAGTCATTTTTTGTCTGTTCAATTTAAGGATTTTAAGTCTTCGCCCTCTGTCTGCATAAATGGTCCAACCACAGCACTGAGAGAGAATCTTCTCTGTCTCCCTGTGATATTTTTTGTGACAAAACCAGAAACCCACAAAGAGTATCAACAGGAAATTGCCGTAGTGGCACTGAAATATATGTATATAAAAAAAAGATCTTACAGCGATCACAACAAACAAAAAGGACTGATGTTTTACTCCCAATTGAAGCTAATGCTAACGGGACATTTAAGTGATTCAACCTCCTATTTTTCTCTTCTGTCGTTTTTTTTTTAATCTATATTTCCTCTACATTTCCATCAATTAATTCCTACTTCTGCATTTTCATCCAATCAGAATCTATGTGATGTCATATAGGTAACGTTAGCTCATATGAACTGTATCAGAACCATTGCTAGTATCTCCATTACACTGTACATGACATACTGTAGATACGACACGTGCAACACAGAGACCGGACGCAGATTTTTGTTTGCGCCGGATTAATGTAAACACTCCGTAACCCGTGGCTACTGTAGTCGCAGTCGATTGCATCATCGCCATGTAAACAGTACCATAGAAAAATCAGACCAACAGACCAGCAGCTTCAGAGCCTTTTAGGCTTTGTTTGTGCAGCTTATGTGAGCAGAGCGCTGCTTTAAAATCACAGCACAGACCCAGAGGAAAAGAGCCAAAGATGTTCTCTAATTAGGTGAAACCTGATATTTACAATTATCATTAGATATCACAATGTTCTGAGACGATTTTTTAATGTAAAGTTGTTGGGTCCTACAAAATCAAAGAGGAGATATTCTGGGCATGTACTGAGGTCGAAATATACCGAAACCTCTTTGTAAAATGACCGTAATAATAGAGAACCAAACCACATTAGCTATGAGATGTTCAAGAATCCAAACCGTGGGGGAGAAGAAAAACCAGATTACTTTAAACTTTTAGAGACTTTTTTTTCTGTGCAGAATTTAAAAAAAAACAACTTTCGGTTGTTTTTAATCTTACGATTTGGTTGTGTTAATAAAGGATCATCCGGATCGGGAGGGGAAACGGAACGCGAGCTATCTAAGCTTAGATAAACAGAATGTGGAGGGAAGCGTCTTAGCGATAGGACGGTCGACCTCTGAAACACAAGAAGGCAAGAAGAAGTCGCTGAGTTACAGGAGCACGTGGGAGTTCCTGCAGTTGCAGGTTTAATGCCTGCCTTTGTCTTTGCTCTTTGTCCAACCTATCTGACAAAAAGAGGGTGTGCCGCCTGCGCACATGCATGGCTGCAGCCAAATCGGCTTCCTCTGGAAATGGTTATGAGAATCTAAAGCTTAGCAATACACAAAGAAGAGCTATCAATCAAGCGGCGTCAACATCTATGCCCGTACAATCAAAGTGGACCCACATCTAGGTCAAAGCAACTGTGCATGCAAATGGGGCCAGGCCAGAAAAGCTACATACGGCCCAACAATAGGCAACAGCTCACAGCTAGTAGGACACAGACCAACTGTAGGAACATGAACTGCTGCCTTTTTATGAGCAACACACTGCTGCGTGATTAGCTGAGCTTTAGGTCACGTCCACATGTCAACCCCCCGCTCCCCCTTTTTTTTTTTTTTAATTTGGTAAATAAGTACTCCGCAATACAGGTTTGGGCGATGAAAATTACGGGCTCGCGGACGGTGGAAGGTTTGTGAGAGGCTGTTTGTGAATGCGTGTGATATGAGACCTTGTTGCAAATGAAAGCGAGGCACAATGAGGAGTGCACAGGCAAACTGAAAAACCCCTCTAATAAAAATAACACCCACCAAGACCAAGTTGTGTGGCTGCAGGCTCCGAGAGTCTCCAGACTCAAGGGCAGGCCTGACTTTACACGGGTGAGGCAGCAGCATGCATGCGGAGTGTGCGGAGTGTGCGGAGTGTGCGGAGTGTGCGGAGTGTGCGGAGTGTGCGGAGTGTGCGGAGTGTGCGGAGTGTGCGGAGTGTGCGGAGTGTGCGGAGTGTGCGGAGTGTGCGGAGTGTGCGGAGTGTGCGGAGTGTGCGGAGTGTGCGGAGTGTGCGGAGTGTGCGGAGTGTGCGGAGTGTGCGGAGTGTGCGGAGTGTGCGGAGTGTGCGGAGTGTGCGGAGTGTGCGGAGTGTGCGGAGTGTGCGGAGTGTGCGGAGTGTGCGGAGTGTGCGGAGTGTGCGGAGTGTGCGGAGTGTGCGGAGTGTGCAATGAGCTTGAGGAAAAACAAGCCGCCATTTTGGAACAGGAATTAGACTGAGTTATTTCGCCATGAGTCCATATCCTAACAGAGCACTGTCAAGGCTGTGTGCATGTAAGGGAAGTAGCCAGTCTAGTCTGCGTGCTCCGTCCTCAGTCCTCGTGTTATTTAACTCTTGGAAATCCCCTCATCCTCCCTTCCCACTTATTTTCCAGTGGAGAGGGAGAAAACGTGGGATTTAATGCCCGAGGTTAGTCTTTACAGTGCACAACTCACAAGTCCCTTAATTTACCCGAGGGATTAATAAAGTTCTGTCTGTCTGTCTGTCTGTCTATCTATCTGTCTGTCTGTCTGTCTGTCTATCTGTCTGTCTGTCTGTCTGTCTATCTGTCTGTCTGTCTGTCTGTCTATCTGTCTGTCTGTCTGTCTGTCTATCTGTCTGTCTGTCTGTCTGTCTGTCTGTCTGTCTGTCTGTCTGTCTGTCTGTCTGTCTGTCTGTCTGTCTGTCTGTCTGTCTGTCTGTCTGTCTGTCTGTCTGTCTGTCTGTCTGTCTGTCTGTCTGTCTGTCTGTCTGTCTGTCTGTCTGTATGTCTGTATCTCTGTATGTCTGGCTGTCTGTCCAACCAGGCAATAACAACCTTTTCTTGAACACATTTAAACTCAACGCACTGAGTGCTCTCCACCATTGACAAGATTCTTTTTTTTTTATTTATGTAGATGCGTCTGATTTTCAGCTTTGTATCTATTTATTAAAGTTGCGTCACAGATGAGGTCACTGAAGGCACCACAGCCATTAAAAATAACTTTGTAACCATGGGTTTAACTGAAAACACACCACTCCAAATGGGCCCAGCAGTGTGTGCGTGTCTTACGTGCGGAACACAAACGGACGAAAAACAAAAAAGAACAAAAACAAAACTCTTAATCCTGTGACTCAAAGACAATCTTCCTGCTTAACATAATTATCATTTAATTACACGGGGAAGTGAGTTATACCATTAAGAGGGGCCAGAAAACTAATTATGAATCAATTTGGCCGTCAACACCGTCTGACACACATACATTTGTGACTAAATATAAGTAACGAGAGATCGATGCGTCATGTAGGCCATTCACTTCTCTGGAGACCGACTTCCTGGCTGAGTCATTTCATGGTGATATCAGCTTTGTAATGTGTAACTGAAATAGTTAGCGCCCCGTCGGCCATGTACCCGCTGTATTAGTAACTATAATAAAAGAATAAAAACATGGAAGAGTCGCTCCGTGTTTTTTTTTTTGTTCCTCGTCGTTTCTTCTAATACATCAAAAAAAAATTTTTTTCAAAAACAATGAACTCATGAGGCTGAATTTTACAGCTGGATATTCATGTTATTTTATGTTTCTATATAACATGTCATAACATTCTTAACTAGTGCATACCTGGCAGTTTATCACATTAGGATTACAAATTGATGTTCACCATTGGACACGTGGCACAACCGAGCAGACAAGCAATACCCTAAAGCCATTACGTGCCGTAATCACCGTAATTAAAAATATAATGATATATTTATGTGTATCATATAACAGCTGTAATCTTGACTAATGTGATATTAACGTGTTATAACATTTGTCATGTGTAGTTGTGCAACTGAAACGTTTCTGAGTTGTAGACTATTGTAGCACTAAATGTTTACCTTTTTTTTGGTTAATTATAATTTGAAAAATCAATTTAGTTTCCCTCAATCAACGTAAACATCTCAGCATCAATCGTTAGATACAGACATGACTAGAAATGTTAGAGTCACATGGTTAAATGTTGACATCACAACACTAATTATTCAAACTCAGATATTGTTGCTGTGTGCAACATTATAAATGATATTATATTTTCAAAGTAAAGGTAGTGTTGACTAATTATGACCATGGTGATCAAAACATATGCATACATAACATTCTTTAAAAAAAACTAAGCGCACATTTGCCCGAACTATTTTCCAGGGGCAACTTTGGAATCATTTTAATGCAATTTAATTTAAATTTTTATAATATTTTCTGTCAATTTATCACAGCAGTACATAATAATTCAAACTGTAATTTATGTCATGTTTAAATGTGAAAGACCTGATGTCAAAATTTAGACCAAATGCTTAGTAAATCAATGTTACGCACAAAGTAATTCAGTGATTGACAAGTACCACGTCTTAATGGAAACATAAATGTATTAATTAAACCACTGTAATAAGCACTAGTGTTCTTGTCCTGGGCCTTCAGCTGTAGATACTGATTTATTACACACAGCTTGTGTAATATTTGGTACTGTTTTTTATTTCTTTTTTCATGTTTTGGATGTGACTACGTGACATACGTCTATCTAACTTATAACTATAGTAAATCTGACCTTATGTTGTTACCTTTTACCATTAGGAATGATTTATTTTTACATGGTAATTAAAGTGTCAAAAGGGGGCCCTTGATGACCATTGGTTAGTTTAAAAGTCAAAATTGAGATCCTTAAAAATAAGGTACAATCCTTCCCTTGCTTAAAATGTAATAACGTGGTTACTACATGGTTTCTCCACAGTGTACTGTATACTACAGTACTGTATACTACAGTACTGTATACTACAGTACTGTATGCTACTGTATCCCACATACAAGAGTGTGAACTACTTCACTTGCCCTTAAGATGTGAGAGCACGTGGAGCCAGCAGTCTCCTCCTCCTCCTCCTCTAAATTATCATTTACATCATCATCATAACACTGCACATGCACGAGCCTGGATGCGTTCACTGCCCCCCCCCCCCCCTTTTTTTTTTTCTTTTTTACAAAACTGATAAGTAAACACAAGACCAGATGCACAATTAAAATGTCAAGGACGCTGGTGTGCTGCAGCAAAAGCCTCACGTCCGTGAGTGGTGTCGGCTCCTTCAGGGTTCCCACCGCACTACTTTTGCTGCACATGTGGAGACAGAGGGGTCTGTGTTGTCTCCCTTCCCTGTTGTGCCAAAGTAAACAAACATGTCTGTCTGAGACCGTTACGGGGCATTTGTTGCATGCATGTGCACATGTTAAACTCCACGACGTGACCAGTTTGCACCCATGTCCGGTCACAGTTTTTTTTTTAAATATATATCAGAGGGGCTTACAAACGGCAAACCAGTTATTATTGCGTAACAACTATTGGCGAATTCCTATCAAAACAGGAAGCTCACACGGGTCCGAAACGACCAGGACCACTCGAGTCTCCACCATGGGGCAAAACATGTCCAAACAGCGCGAAACAACCGCCGCGTCCCGGTGCCACATAACGAACGTTATTTACCTGCTTCCCTCTGTAGAAGAGACGCTGCTGCTGGGGGCTCACGTTGAAGATGTCCTGTATTTTCAACCGCAAAGACTCAATTTTGGTCAGTCTAGAAAGATCCTCCACGGTTCGCGTCACCTTCCCGTCTATAGTACGAACCTGGATCCACATCGCTGCACCTCCCCGCTGAGCCTCGAATTTATGTCAAATAGAGCGGTTTTGGCCGCGGATACGGCTTGTTCCCAAGGCTGAACGTTCTTTAAAAATTGACAATGTTTAGGGCTCCATTGCGTTTGCCTCTGCAGAGGTAACGTCGGAGTGGCTCGCGCAGGAGGTGTCTCACATGAGGTCGCGGCGCCAAGTAAATCTCGCGACATTTACGTTTGGGGGGGCGAGAACGTCTCGCTACTAAAGGTGTAGTTCGATCTTTTTTAAAAAATATTATTCAAAGTTCTTGCTGAACTACAGGTGTATTACGGACTTTATTACGGTGGACTGAGGTTTATAGCTAGTGGGTTTATTTACTTTTCACAGACAACAGTGTAAGATTTAAATAGATTATCAAAATGGCAAAAAGCAAAATATAAAAGTGTGTTTTATAAATTCAAATTTGTTTCCTATTTCAAATGATAAATAGTTGCTTTCGTTACTTCAGAGTGATGTTGTGATCCTTGCAGCTTTTCAAATGGGCAGAATTTGGGCAGTTATTTGCACATTTGTAAACTGGATTAGGCCGCTATGTCAACAGCTATGGTGAGTGAAGTTAAATTATTATTTATTACATATTTGTGATATATTTGTACACAGACTAGTACCACCTCAGTTTAATATAATTGATAATAAAGCAGGAGTTGTTTCAGTTGTGGTGGAGACAATTTCAAGGATATTTTGTCTTTGTGCAACATTTAGTTTTTGATAAAGTTAGAAAAGATGTATGGTAGAGTTTTACTAGCATAGTTGTTTGTTTCTGCATAAGGTAGACGATCGTTTATCCCAGAACTGACATTGACATCACCACTAATAAACTCTACAATCTCTGAAGGCCTGGTTAGAATGTATTCGTTTTTATATAGTCAGGGCAAGGTCGTTTGTAAAGGAACCGAATCACCGGACATGCTACTACAGATTTTCACAAGATTATAATTTGTGCAAAACTGTTATCTCGTGGTCGATAAACATTTTTCCTTAACTGGGTCAGATCCCGAATAAATAACAAGAGGAATCCACAACAATTTTCTCAACATTACCGCCGTACATATTCTTTTGTTGTTTATTGGTAAATACTGACATCTAGTGACCAAAAGTCAGTCGTGTTCAGCTCAAGCAAACGCCGTACTGCATGTACAGTATGTAAAAAGCACTGTTATTGTTTATTAGCCTAAAAGAAACAGGGCAACGGGTTTAAATTAAAAGACTGACGTTTATTCGTATAGGCGTAAAGGCATTTTTTCCTATCGACTGCATTTATTTTACACTCATTAATAATACAATATTATCTATCAGTGTCAATGGCTAAACGTACCATTCATACAAGGTTATTGTAATAAAATCAAGAGTGTGTGTGTGTGTGTGTGTGTGTGTGTCAGGACCGTCCACCAAAATCAAAACAATCCTAGTGTGTGCGACTCGCTAATCACTGGCTACGTCAGGCGGCGCCCATTTGCATTAGGGGCACGCACCGGGGGAGGGGAAGGGGGTCCAGTGTTAGGACGAGACAGATTTATCGGATACCAGGTTATTATAAACCCAGCACACTGTGGGAGATGTGTTACACGTAGCGCTCGTTGGCTTTTTATTGTGAACTTGGAGAATGTTAAGTGTCAGAAAGTCGCTGTCAACTTGCTGAAAGCTAACCGGTTAGCTGGATGGCTAGTCATAATGAAGTGCTGGGCATTGTCGGACGTTCAGCTCCGACTCAGGCCGACGCTGCTTTAGCTCTCCCGCTGTCTCTGACATCACGCCTGGCGCTGACGACATGAGATGTACGCACAACTTTTTATCATCAACACCGTCGCTGCCTACATTTTGCCCGACAATGAACAGCGAACGCAGTAACTGCAGGCCGCAGTTTGCAGACAATGGCGAGCTAACGCCGTTAGCCTGCTAAGAAGCGAAGCTGTTGGGTCTGGAGCCGTGTTTGAAGCTGCACTGAGAGGAGAATAAACCCCCGCCGAGGTTTGTTGTTTAGCCGAGCAGGCTCTGCCTCTTGTCAGTGTGTTTTGGTTAAATTCACGTGACCTGGAGAGAGACGTGATAAAGATGCGCCTCGCTGACTTTCGTTAAAGTCCAGAAAGAAAAAAAAACTTTGTTTTTACTGAAATTGTAAATTTAAACTACCGCTAGTTGCTAGCGTTTTGTGAGCTGTTTCTAAACTTAATGCTAGTCCGTTATTGATGTGGTTCAATCAGAAATGTGTAATAATCAGTGTTTTGGATACAAAAGCTTTAACTGATAATATTTTGTTTATGCAATACTACACGTCCTTTAAAGGTATCTGTCCTAACGGTAGTAACTGTCACTAACTGTAATCATCAACTCACTGGTATTGTGTGTGTGTGTGTGTGTAAACGAAGTTTTCTTTACTTTTTATTTTATTGCCTTGAACGACGCATCTTCTATTTGTTATTAATATTGTTTTCTTTTTATATTGATCGCAAAAATCTATTCTGATCTCCATGAAGGTGACACCTGTTACCCGTGCATCTTCACTGATGTATTAATAACCCATTATAAATAATAATACCAGATTTGGTCTCATGGAGAAACATTAGCCAATATAATCTGGCAGATTAATGTACTTAATATTTCCACGAATATGCGCTGATTTTGTCGTTTAATTAAATTAACATATACAGATGACAGAGCAAGAATTTTTTTTTTTTTAATTTTCGTCTAACGCTTTTCATTTAATTTTCATTAATCAATTGCCTGGTATGTATTTTCATGTAAATTATAGTGTAAAATGTGTTTTGTGTATTATTAATGTGTTATTAATTTACTGTTCCATTAACCCATTAAAATCATAAATGATGATCAGAAACATCAACAATTAAAAACATACAGATTTTCTTTATAATCTTCAGCCCAATTAGAATGTATTTATTTAACCATCTACATCGATCCTGTTTGTTTCAGGTTTCTCCATCATGGATCAGTCAGAGCAAATCCCAGCAGCTTGTTGGCAACCACTGTTCCTCAACCAAGCCATGACAGTGACTTACCAAAAGCAACCGTCACAACAGCTCATCTCTGACCCTGTGACTGCTGAGGATGGGGTCACTAATGGGACCTGTGAAGAGGAGTCGGCTTTGTGTCCCTTTGACACTGGAGACGTCTTTGCTGGGAATAATCACCTGACGGTTAAAAATGAGGACCTTTCAGAGTTTTCTAACAGTGACCTCTCTCTGCCCGAGGTCTGCGTTTCCACCAACAGCAACAGCTGTGAGGAGGACGAAATGAACCACGAGGTGCAACAAGCTTACAAGATATTCACTGGGTTTCTGTTGGATAAGCACAAAGGGATCACGAGGCCATTCCTTCATCCCATTGGCCACCAGGAAGCCCAGCGTTGTATCGAAGCGGTCCAGGACCGGGGTCCGGCACAGCTGAAGCAGTCAATGTGTTTGCAACGAATGGAAGAGAAGTTCGTTAGCCAAGAGTATGAGACAATAACAGAGTTTGTGGCAGACTTTCGTCTGATGTTGGAGAACTGTTATCGCTACCATGGGGTGGACCACTGGATCTCCAAACAGGCCCAGAAGCTGGAAATCATGCTTGAGCAAAAGCTTACATTGCTGTCTAGGTAAACTACGATGTTATTTAAATAGTTTAACTATACTTTAACAACTGTATGTATAAATCAGCAGTAAATATAGATCAGGCATTTATTGACTTGGGTCCTACAATTGGACAGGAGGGCGGGGTCTGGAGCAGATAGATGTAGCATCCGTGTGAATTAAGATAAATGACATGGAAAAATCGTGCATAAGGGTTAAAATGCTACTATGCTTTTAGCCTTTTCTACGCCATCTATTGGGGAAACGTGTTGGCATTGCAGGGAAAGTCAAGTGTAAGATAATATAAATCAGTTATATAGTTTGGACAAGTTTGGCGGGCCGGATTAAAAAACTGAACGGGCCACATCTGGCCCCCGGCCCTAGTTTGTTAATTATATAAATGCTAATTGTAATGCTAATGACAAACCTTTTTCCAAGACCAATGTTGTGGCTTCTGAAAATAAAAACAGACTCAAACGGTGTTTCGCAACCTAAGGAAATGTTTCCCTTTTTCTCTTTAAATTTAACTTCTTGTCCGTAATTCTATTGTTCTAAAATGTTGTCTCAAGAGAAGTTACGTAAAACTTATTTGATGAGTTCTGTTAGGTTTGTTATAGTCTGTGGTTTGTTTTATTTTTTGTTTTTTTTGTTGTTTTTTGTTATTGATTGTCTCCAGTGTTTTTCGGCCTTTATGCTTATAATAAGAACAATAAATACTGTAATGTGATTTTAAAGTGTGTTGTCAAAAAGACACAACACATTCACGAGTGAATTGTGTACAGTAACACACATTACAAGCCAATAACCATTAATTACAAAACTATACCTTTAACAACACCTTCTCAACTGTCTTTCCAAGGACACTCAGAGAGAAAACAACTCTGGCCGTGACATCTAGAGGGCGTTTCTGTGCAGAAGAGGAACGGGGCCAAGGAGGCACCTCCACCAGAAGAAGGCTGGCCCCTCGAAGCCTGGCTACTATTACTGTGGGGGGTCATGAATCTATAATGGTTCATACCTTACGGCTAGAAGAGCAACAGAGGGCCAAAGAGGAGAAGAGGTGAGTGAATCTGTAATGAGTGCATAATATTATAAAATCTTTCTTTACATTTGTTTAAATTTCTGCAGAAATAAACAGTTCTTTTGGGCTTTTAGGCAACGTGAGCTTGAAAAGAAGGAAGCAGTGGAAACGTCTGCCAAGGAGGTGGACAAGTGGGAGCATACTCTGCTGTCACAGGCCTCACCCCACACAGTGGATGCACTTTGGGAAATCCCAGCTATAGGTCATTTCCTCTGCCTGGCTCAGACCGCCCTTAACCTGCCGGAGATTGTATTTTTTGAGCTGGAGCGTTGTTTGCTGATGCCTCGCTGCAGCTTGCTCCTCTCCAAAATCATGTCTTCCCTACTGTCCACATCCCAGCGGAGGGCCAGCGTGAACCGTCGGCCTCCACTGCCTTATCGCCACTGGGAATCGGAGCTCAGACAGCGGGTCATGGGCTGGTATCGATGTGTTGGAGCCTCCCATGACCAGCCTGGGCGTGCTGAGCAGCTGGGACTCTGTCAGCAGTTTTTCAGCACCCTTGGTGAAGTGAGTCCTTTGGAGGAGAAACCTTTTCACTTGTTACCCTTTTACCAGCGAGTGTGGCTTCTGAAAGGCCTGTGTGATCACGTGTATGAGACGCAAAAGAGTGTGCAAGATGCCGTCCTGGCCCAGCCCATCCACGAGTGTAGGGAGTCAATATTGGGTTATGACAGCAAGGAGAATGCCTACATACATTTCCCACACTTTTGTGGGGCAGATCTAAGGATATACCGTCAGAGCCCCAGCTCTCCTCCGGCTTTTCCATTCCCTTCATTGTTGGTGAAAAAGGTTGCAATAGAACCTGGAACAAAAGGTGTGACGTATGAGGCTGAGAGAAAAAAAAGCGATGGAGAGTGTTATGGAGACTCCGTCAACACCAGGGAGTTTGAATTTCATGATTTTGGAAGGAGTAAATCAGAGACGTTAGGCGTCTTCCATAAGGAAAACAGCAATAATGACGAAGATAAAAGGTTAAAATTGTCATCCATAAAAAAGGAGGAAGGCTCTGGATCTGGATCTTCTGAAGGTGAATCGCTTGAAGACTCTAAAATGGACCATAATAAGAACTCTAACATCTCAACCCCTTTTAACACTAATCACACGGAAAGATGTGGCACAAAAACAATGACTAAGGAAGAGGAAGTAAAGCTACAGCTTCAGCCTGTCACAGTGAAAAAGGAGCGGAAGTGTTCACTGTCAGTCATTGGCAACAGTAAAGGAGAGACACGTGAGCCCTGTCTGAGTGTTGGGGAACACAGTTACACAGGAAGGTCACCAGCCCGGTCGGTGAATCCAACCGCCTCAACTGACGCAGTAGAACTTAACATAAAGGAAGAAAGCCCCAGTCTGGGACGACGAAAAGATTCCTGTGTGGAATGTTTCAAAAACAAAATAAACCAGGTATCCAACTGCTCCTGTGACACATCACGACACACAACACAGTTGTTCTACGAGAGAACTCATAAATTAGGTGAAAAGAGCACCGGTGACATAATTTGGACTAAAAAGAAAAAGAGGAAGAAAAAACGGGAACACGAACAGCTGTCAAAGATAAGAGGAAAGCACAAGCGGCTGCAGCACACGGACCAGACCGGTCTGTCCTCGGCTGATGCTGCCCAGTCTGCACCCAGAAGAGTTTCACCAACGGTCAGCAGAAAAGACAAGAAGAAAAGACATAGAACAGGTCAAAATTCACATTTTATACAATGCTTTGTTTTGAGGTAGAAATACATTGTGTTCCTTGGCCTAGACAAGGAAAACCGTTACACATGCACATGGCAATTTAGTGAGATTGGCAAAATGTACTTTAATTTATCCTGTTTATTTCTTTGCTTTTAAATTAATACCAATATCTGTTGTTTAATGACTCTTGTTACAGGAAAGAAACTCGACGCTACAAAGAAAATATCAGATGAATCTCCAGTTGAACCATCCTTCAAAGTACAGTCGCCATTTGCTAAGAGATGTTTCACAAAAGTGTTCTGTGAAAATGATCCAGATTCAATCCCAGTATAATTTATTAACGTTGTTTATCCTCTGTAGTTGGTGTGCAGCAATCTGGACGAGTTAAGGGACCTCATCAGCAAGACAGAAGACGAGCTCGATGATTTGGAAAGCACCAAAAAGAGACTGGTGAAGACCATTGTTCTGTCCAGACCTTTCACTCATGTACCTTTGGGTTTGTCCCACTGAATGGAACTGAGCCTTATTGTGTCTATGGCTACACAGGGTCGGTGGTATTACAGGAAAGAAGCAGTAAAAGAACTCCACAGCACTCTTATCAGACTACTGAATGAGCTGTTACCATGGGAACCCAGACTTGTTAAGGCCCATCAAAGGAACAGGTTCAAGCAATTTCTGAATAACTTTGCATTAATCCCTCATTAATCCAACATTTTAACTACTTCAAATTAATCCCACTTTTGTTTTATACCTATTGTCTTGCAATTAGGCTCCGTTTGAAGAAGGAATTTGATGATTTTAAAAAGCACCCGGAGTACAACAACTTTGTGCGTGAAGAGCGTTTCACATCATCATCATCATCATCATCTTCGGATGAAGATGAAGAGAAGGGCCTAGGGAGGAACCTGCTCTCTGTTGTGGATCATTATAGAAAATCAGAAGAGGAAGACCTGGAACATTTGGTTCCCAGAGGACTTTGGAGTGGAGGTGAAGTTGTTATGTTTCCACTCTTTGATTTTGTTCCTGTTACTTAAGATTGGTTGAATTTTCTTTTCTTTTTTTTTTTTTTCAAATCAAGTGATAGTTGCTATTCTATCTATTTTCTCAGCTAAAACCAGGGAGATTGGGGCTGAAGCTGCAGACGAAACAGCGTCAACCTACTTGTCTCCTACACACTTGAGAAAACTCCAGGTCAACGTAGAGAACGGCATTGATCCACTCTCGAGACCTCAGGCTGTGAGCAGAGGCACTGCTTTTGTTGCGAACTCTGGTCCACAAGCTAGAACTGAAGGGATCTCATCAAATCAGTCCACAGATTCAAGTTCATCGTGGGCAGCAGCGATGCCGCTCCAAAGTCCTTTGTCATCCATATCAACGATCCTTCACCCCACGACTGGACTACCTAAAGGTTACACACCGATCCCAGTCTTACTGGCTAAAAGTGTGGGAAACAAAGTGACCTTAATGAAACGACCTGCTGATTGTGCAGGATTTAACAGTGTTGATGCACAGGGCAGAGGGACTTTGGTCTCCCCACCTACCTCTGTAATGGATAAGGCAAAGATTTCAAAAACACAACTTTGGCCTTCCAGTTCACAGAAGGACTTGGAACAAATAAAGGCTCAAAGACAACAACAAGCACATTTACAGTTGGAGGTGGCTCCAGTCACGAAAGCTCTTGGTACAGAACAGCAGACAAAACCAAACCAAGCTGTACCAAAAAGTCCGGTTCAAGTGGTACGCAGGTCTCCTCAGGTTCCTGGTCATCAGGAAGGAAAGGACGGCAACAGCAGCAGCACCGTTGGTCCATCTGTTAACCCTGGACAGACAGTCATGCGACAAGTGGTTATTCTGACGTCTTTACATCAGCAACAGTCAAAAGACATCCAGGTCCCAGTGTCTCAAGTAGTCAGCCCTGTATGTATGTCCACCGATGTGCCTGGGTTCACCATTCCTGAAAACAGAATCCCTGTCCAGCCGGTGGCTCCATTAAAAAACAACATGACAGTCAGCAACCACTCTCCTTCTGTTTCCCCTTGTCAGCAACAGGGAAGCCTAAAAACATCTGGATTCAAAACGATCCCAATCTGCAGTCCCCAAACCAGCACGCCACCGGGTGTCATGCCGAACCTCGGGTCTCCTTCAAGTGCAGCTCCTCCCCAACCCATAAAAAATACAGACCCTAAGCAGGAGTTAAAGACTGTGTGCATCCGTGATTCACAGTCCATCCTGGTCACAACCAGAGGAGGCAACACAGGCATCGTCAAAGTTCAGACCTCCTCAGACGGGGCCATTGGTTCCATGTCCACCAGCCCAGTCATCACCATTTCACCACAGTTTAAAGCCTTTCTTGTGTCAAAAACATCCTCTTTTACATCCTCTTGCACCATTCCAGCAGTAAACACAAGTGTTTCAGCGGCCCAACCTCAGAGACCGGTCCCTCCGGTGTTAAAGTCAGTTCCTCTTTCCACATCCCCTCTACAGTCCCCCTTTCACAGTACAACCACAGGTAGCATTCCCATTACAGGTGCAGAAAGCCAGACTAAAGGTTCTTTTGTGGCTTTAAATCAAGCCTCAAACATTTCAGCCTGCTCTACGGTTCCCAAGATGAGTGGCCATTTAGCACCGGTCACTGCTGCGTCACTAGTGAAAAGTGCAGTTGCTGTCCCGTCGCAGAGCAGTACTGCAGTTCCCCAACTTCTAACGCAGTTAGAAGTCACCAAGACTGGACTGAAACGGGTTGGCACGGATGAAAGAGCTCAAGTTACAAAATTCATCCTTCTTACCCCGTCGTCATCTCCCACATCAAGTGAGGCCGTCTCGAAGATAACATCTCCCTCCAAAAAGACGCTATCCAATTCAAAAGTCATGCTCATTGGCCAACCTACTGTCACATCTTCAATCACCTCCATCGGAAGCATTCCAACGCAAACACTGGGAACGGGGGCAAGTGAGCAACTGCTAACCACTCCCTTCCCAAATCCCACCGTAAAGATGGGAATAAGCCCAGAGCAGCTAATGAGCTGTGGCTCCACAGAGGCATTGACCAAAGTCAAGAACATCAGTCTGCCCTCAGGTGGGTGTGTTACATGTACGTTTGTTGACTTGGGAAACGTGTGATTTTGTTACTAACATTTTCTTTTCTAAACAATTTCAAGGGTTTCAAATCCAGTTGGCGGGGAAGACCACAGCTATTGGCCAGACCATCGGTGCCCTGTCAAGTTCTCCGTCCAAGAGGACGCCGGTGTCTGTCCCACAGCCAGGCCGTCTACCAGCTACTGTCCCTGGACTGCTCCTCGTCTCCAATTCAAAAACCAACACCACGTGGTCAACCCCACTGGCGTCTTCCCTGTGTACCCCTTCCTTCGCTGTGGTTTCCCAAATGGCCTCAAACACGTCAACATCTGTCGCTACCACTTTGTCGACGGGAACCAAAAAAAGTCCCTCAGATATGAATCCAGTTGAGTCCTTTAGCAACTGCCCTGCTCAGTTACCCATTACTGTACAGAGTAGCCCTGCTCAGAGGTCCACCTCACTAATCCACCAGCAGTCCAATGTCCAAAATGACGTTGTTGAGGACAGGTTCTCATTGCCCAACCCGCTTGCTCCTAATACGTCTCTCTCCTCTGGAACGTGCGCCCCATCCATCACGTCTGCTGCTGGAACAATCCAGCAGAGAATAGTCATCAACACCTCCGCACCGCTTGCTGCTGGTACACAAATCATTCTGAACAACACACGCTTTGTGGTCCCTTCCCAAGGTTTAGGTCCAGGCAGCCATGTTCTTATCATCTCTGGTCCTGCACCACCACAAGTGCCTCCTGCGAGTGCTGCTGGCACAAGTGCATCAGCACCGCCCCAAGTGGCGAACCATGCCATCGTAGCCCCGCAAGTTTTATCCCAGCCTCCGCTCAGACCATCGGGTGTACCAGCTGCAACTTCACCTTTCGTTGCATGTACACCTGCTGTTAGGCCGCCGTTGC